TTAGTATTAGTTCATAAAATACTAATATTAGTTAGTATTAGTTTATAAAATACTAATATTAGTTAGTATTAGTGTACGCACACTAATAATAGTTAGTATTAGTGTACACAGACTAATATTAGTTAGTGTTCGTGTACACACACTAATATTACGTAGTATTAGTGTACACATACTAATATTAGTTAGTATTAGTGTACACATGCTAATTTTAGATAGTATTAGTTCATAAAATACTAATATTAGTTAGTATTAGTTTCTAAAATACTAATATTAGTTAGTATTAGTGTACACATACTGATATTGGTTAGAATTCGTGTACACATACTAATATTCGTTAGTGTTAGTTCATAAAATACTAATATTCGTTAGTGTTAGTTTTTAAAATACTAATATTAGTTAGTATTAGTGTACACATACTAATATTAGTTAGTATTAGTGTACACATACTAATATTAGTTAGCATTAGTTTTTAAAATACTAATATTAGTTAGTATTAGTGTACACATAATAATTAGTTAGTAATATTGTACACAAACTAATATTAGTTAGTATTATTGTATAAATACTAATATTCCTTAGTATTAGTGTACACATACTAATATTAGTATTAGTTTACACACACTAATATTAGTTAGTATTAGTGTACACACACTAATATTAGTTAGTGTTAGTATACACACACTAATATTAGTTAGTATTAGTGTACACATACTAATATTAGTTAGTATTAGTGTACACATACTAATATTAGTTAGCATTAGTTTTTAAAATACTAATATTAGTTAGTATTAGTGTACACATACTAATATTAGTTAATATTAGTGTACACATACTAATATTAGTTAGCATTAGTGTACACATACTATTACTAGTTAGTATTATTGTATAAATACTAATATTCCTTAGTATTAGTGTACACATACTAATATTAGCTAGCATTAGTTTACACACACTAATATTAGTTAGTATTAGTGTACACACACTAATATTAGTAAGGTTTAGTATACACACACTAATATTAGTTAGTATTAGTGTACACACACTAATATTAGTTATTATTAGTGGACACATACTAATATTACTTAGTATTAGTGTACATAAACTAATATGAATTAGTTTTCGTGTACACATACTAATAGTCGTTACTATTAGTGTACACACACTAATATTAATTAGTATTTGTGTACACATACTAATATTTGTTAGTATTAGTTTGTAAAATAATAATATTCGTTAGTATTAGTGTACACATACTAATATTAGTTAGTATTAGTGTACACACACTAATATTAGTTAGTATTAGTGTATACATGTTAATATTTCTTCAGTATCTGTGTAGACATACTAATATTCGTTAGTATTATTTTATTAAATAATAATTTTAGTTAGTATCTGTGTACACATACAAATATTCGTTATTAGTGGTGCACACATACTAATATTAGTTAGTATTAGTGTACACATAATATTAGTTAGTATTAGTGTACACACACTAATATTAGTTAGTATTATTGTACACACACTAATATTAGTTAGTATTAGTGTACACATAATAATATTAGTTAGTATTAGTGTACACATAATAATATTAGTTAGTATTATTGTACACATACTAATATGAGTTAGTATTAGTGTACACATACTAATATTAGTTAGTATTAGTGTACACATACTAATATTAGTTCGTATTAGTGTACACATACTAATATTAGTTAGTATTAGTGTACACATACTAATATTAGTTAGTATTAGTGTAAACAAACTAAAATTAGTTAGTATTAGTGTACACATACTAATATTAGTTAGTATTAGTGTAAACAAACTAATATTAGTTAGCATTAGTGTACACATACTATTACTAGTTAGTATTATTGTATAAATACTAATATTCCTTAGTATTAGTGTACACATACTAATATTAGCTAGCATTAGTTTACACACACTAATATTAGTTAGTATTAGTGTACACACACTAATATTAGTAAGGTTTAGTATACACACACTAATATTAGTTAGTATTAGTGTACACACACTAATATTAGTTATTATTAGTGGACACATACTAATATTACTTAGTATTAGTGTACATAAACTAATATTAATTAGTATTCGTGTACACATACTAATAGTCGTTACTATTAGTGTACACACACTAATATTAATTAGTATTTGTGTACACATACTAATATTTGTTAGTATTAGTTTGTAAAATAATAATATTCGTTAGTATTAGTGTACACATACTAATATTAGTTAGTATTAGTGTACACACACTAATATTAGTTAGTATTAGTGTATACATGTTAATATTTCTTCAGTATCTGTGTAGACATACTAATATTCGTTAGTATTATTTTATTAAATAATAATTTTAGTTAGTATCTGTGTACACATACAAATATTCGTTATTAGTGGTGCACACATACTAATATTAGTTAGTATTAGTGTACACATAATATTAGTTAGTATTAGTGTACACACACTAATATTAGTTAGTATTAGTGTACACACACTAATATTAGTTAGTATTAGTGTACACATAATAATATTAGTTAGTATTAGTGTACACATAATAATATTAGTTAGTATTATTGTACACATACTAATATGAGTTAGTATTAGTGTACACATACTAATATTAGTTAGTATTAGTGTACACATACTAATATTAGTTCGTATTAGTGTACACATACTAATATTAGTTAGTATTAGTGTACACATACTAATATTAGTTAGTATTAGTGTAAACAAACTAAAATTAGTTAGTATTAGTGTACACATACTAATATTAGTTAGTATTAGTGTAAACAAACTAATATTAGTTATATTAGTGTACACATACTAATATTAGTTAGTATTAGTGTACACACACTATATTACTTAGTATTAGTGTACACAAACTAATACTAGTTAGTATAAGGCAATATGTAGTATCGTTATTGTATAGTGAATATACAGCAGTGTGGTATACAGTATGGTTGGTAGAATAATACAAAGTTTAATATTACAAGTCTAATATTTGATAGTCTAAAGTATAGGGTAGTGTATAGTAACGCATTGTATAATCAAGGATGGGGTTTGTCTATGGCAGTGTATATTACGGTGTATAGTTACGTAATTTAGAAAAAAGTTTAGTTGGAGACATATCAATATAATGCATAATGTTAGAGCTTACACTGTGCTGTGTATACGATATTGTACAATGTATTTTAGATTGGAAGGTATAATATTGTAATGTATAGTAGTCTAGTTTATAGCATAGTTGTAACGCAACACAGGACAGAACAGCGCATTGTGGCTGTTTCTCTCTTTCCCCCCTCCTCCGTTCCGAGCATAGATGGACTCGTCCGTCTGAACAAAGCTCGTCGCTTTCCGTTGTGCTAATGTTGAAAAGAAAAAAGAAACCGCCACTTTTTCAACGCAGAATTGTAATGTATAACGACTTATTGTTAGTAGCTCAGCTAATTGGAGAGTATATTGAGTTTATTTATAACATTGATGTAGTTTATATTTTAGTTTTTTATCAGTTTACTATATGTATTCATGATATAGTGTAGTGTATACCCAGTTACTTTATGTTAATAGCTCAACTTATTGAAGAATATATTGAGTACATTTATTATATTGATGTAGTTTATACTTAGTTCTTTCACATCGGCTTATTTTATGATAGTTGGGTAGTTGCAGTTCTTTAGCGTCAATATACTAAATGCCTTTGTTGATATGTAAACCCTGACTTTAACATAGCTAATTCCGTGATCAGTTACATGCTAATCCCTCACACTAACATCATGCTAATCTCCCAGTTACATGCTAATTTCTTACTTTAACATCCAGCTAATCCAACACATTAACACAGCTACTTCAATGCTAAATTTTTCTGTTGATATGTAAACTCCTTTGTCAAAGCGCTTTGCTCCTCCTACCCAGCTTAAAAGACGCTGCCAAGCTTAGCAGTGTTCATTGAAGCGTTGTCGTCCCGACAGTACTGTTTCTTCACCTGAGGAAGGCTACTTGTGTTGTGGCCGAAACGTCGTGAGAATTTTACTTTTATTATGTTTTATTATTATTTTATTTCCATTCTACGTGACTTTACCGAAAGAACTAAGAAAATGAATACCTGCAGTCACGATAGCTTTAAATCGACAACGCCACTATCAGGACATTGAGAGCTCGGCATGAGCAGCTACATCATGGGACCTCCCTTGCCACTATCAAAATTCAATATATTTTTTTGCATGTTCACCACAAGTGTATGCAGTTAATGCAGACATGATTACTTGCAAAAGGTTTCAGTTTGGTGTTTTAACATCTTAACACAGCTGTTTAATTGCCAGAAAGGGTACAATCCTTATAACAGTACCTTGTTTAGAACACCTGCAGGGCACAACGTGTTCGTCTCACATCAGCGCTGAGTCCAACTCGGCAGCCAGCACCGTCACCCTCCTCTGCTCCCCACTCCACCCCGCGTGACAGAATGGGTGCCCACCTGAGGGTGCCCTATGGCCAGCGGCGTCGACATTCTACGCAGAGACTCTGCACGGCGATTGATCTCCCTAGACCAGCGGTCTGCAACCTGCAGCTCTCCTTAAGGGACTGCTTCATGATGTTATTTCTCAAGGTCACCACCGTCTCGTGTTCACCTCGTGCATTGTTTTGGCTTTTAAAATGTCGAGCTGTCTTTTTTATATACTGGATTCAAACAAAATTCTCTTATTGGTATTTTGGCTACCGACCCCTGGCTTAGACGGCCACCGTACTGCTCTCAAGGAACACTTTGTCCGCTGCGTGATGCACCTCTTGATACACTGAGGCTCTCCTTGTTATCACCTCGGTGACCGCATTTATCGCTGAATCCACCTCACGTCTCCCCTACCCAAGTTGGCAAGTGCCGTGCACTCTCGCCAGGCTTTAATACACGACACAGGCCCGCCTCGTGGTGGTAATCGTGTGTTTGTAGCGAATGGGGCTGCAGCTATGAGTGAAGCAAAGAGACTTACACACAGCAGCCAGGAAATTCGTTTGGACGCCTCCCACTGAGATGAATTTTGCGAGGTTCAGGCGGCTGGAGACAGGGGCTGGGTCATCCTGAGTCTCCTGAGAGACGGAGCTCATTCTGCACTCATAGCACAGGGGACATACAGAGTCTAATGAGGGTCCATGTCTCTCTACACTCACAGCACGAGATTCACAGTCTAATGAAGGCCCATGTTTCTCTACAAACGGACAAAACAGGCAGCCCTCGACTTGTGAATGGCCGTACTTACAAACCAGCATCCATGAAATAAAAAAATAACTTTGACTTAAAATGCAAACTCGCAGTTGCAAACTGAACATCAGAACGATTTTGTTCAGAGGAACGATCTTCCGCGAGATGTAATGAGTCGGCCTCGTGCTGGGAGTGTTTGCGTGTGTACAGACATTGTGCATGTGTGTGAACATTGTGTGTGTGTTAACATTGTGTGTGTGTGAAAGTGTGGGGGGTACAGCTGGTGCATCTCCCAGTCATCTCAGTCAAAGCCAACCTATGGCACCTGGGTCCATCCCGAGACCTGCTGCCAGCGAGCCTTCGACACTTCACGTGGCCTCAAAGTGCACCTGGCCTGGCACAGGCGCCATGGTAATGTCACCGTCACTTAGTGGTGAATGGCGGGTATTGATATTGGTGTGGGGAGCGGCAGTTTAGCGGTGACTGCGCTGCGCTAGGAAAGCGACGACCCGAGTTCGATTCTTGCTCACGGCCAACACCAGTACCTGGTGTGGTGCGTAAACATCGCCAACGGGGAGACAAAAGCAGCGGGCCGTGACGCTGGGCACCCACCCCCTCGTGTGCCACAGTGGCGGCCATCTTAGGCGCTGCTCGCTGAGAGAACTTGCCCCAAACAGTCTGGTCTCTTCACCTGATGAAGGCCACTTGTGTTGTGGTCGAAACGTCGTGATTTTTGTTGTTTGATTTTTTACCTACATGACTTTACCGAATAGAACCAAAGCGTATGGCTCCTTGCAGTCACGAAAGCTTTAAAACTAGAATTGCCCCAAACATCTTGTGAAGGCTACACGGGGGATTGTTGTCGTTGCGGTGTCTTTGTCTTTGTGTGTGCATGCGTGCCCCGTTTGTTGTGGTGACTCATTGCGCCCCTACCGACTACATGTAAGTGAAAACAAAGTTTGCTTTCTATTCGTGTTATATTATTTTATGATTAATTTACTATACAGTATATTGTTTTACATTGTTAGATGCTTTGTTGAATCGCAACACATTTTATAACCGTGTCGGCATTTAAATACGGTGCATTATTGTTTTCCGACTTACGAACCGTTCGACTTACAAACGGAGTCTCAGGAACAAATTGCGTGCATAACCCGAGGACTGCCCGTACGGGATACAATAGATCACAATGGGATACGACTGCATACAATTGGGTTTATTAGGAATCACATCACGACCGTTTGATGATTTGTCCACCAGGTGGCAGGCAGAGCTCGAGTTTGAGTCTGGGTTGGTACTGACCTGGGACTCTCATTAACGGGATCCTGAAAAACACAAACACGCATTTCACATTAACATTGACATCCTAAACAGATGCCCAACCTCCACACAGTCGCCTGCTATTTACAGTGGAGTGCGACATCAGGGAATTAACAAATACCTGCACACAGAGAATGGTGAAAAACAGAGTTATCTGTGTGCCTTTGTACTGTTATGCCTATTCTTATTAAAATTTGAAACTTCGTGAGTTTTTTATATTTTAATATTTTTTTTATTTTCAATTTTTTAAATATATTTTTTCAATTTAAATAAAATATTTTTTTCAATTTTAAATATATTTTTTTCAATCTACGTGACTTTACCGAAAGAACCATCGGGTATTAATTCCTGCAGTCACGAAAGGTTTAATTCAAAACATAGAATACCTCTTCTTTGGTTCTTTCGGTAAAGTCACATAGAATTATAATAAAATAATAAAATATCACAATAAAATTCTCACGACGTTTCGGCCACAATGCAAGCGGCCGTCTTCAGGTGAAAGGTACAGACCTGTCGGGACGACAGAGCTTCAATGAACGATGTTAAGATTCGTAGCGACTTTTAAAGTGAGGCACCTTGACAAAGGGGTTTACATATCAAATAGCTCAGGGATAAGCTTGTGACTGGTCACGGAAATGGCTATGTTAAAGTCAAAACCTACACCTCCACAGGTTTTGACTTTAACATAGCCATTTCCGTGACCAGTCACAAGCTAATCCCTCAGCTATTTGATATGTAAACCCCTTTATCAAGGTGCCTCACTTTAAAAGTCGCTACGAATCTTAACATCGTTCATTGAAGCTCTGTCGTCCCGACAGGTCTGTACCTTTCACCTGAAGACGGCCACTTGCGTTGTGGCCGAAACGTCGTGAGAATTTTATTGTGTTATTTTATTATTTTATTCTCATTCTACGTGATTTTACCGAAAGAATCAAAGAAGATGAATCCTTGCAGTCACGAAAGCTTTAAATCGAAACATAGAATACCTATTATTATGTTTTCATCAATAACAGCATTCCTTTCACTGGACACGGACCCCAACAATTGACAAAGCCACTCCTTGCAGGTCGAGTCTAGCAGCTAAACAAATAGTTAAGCAATGTTCATTAACTCATGTTTTTGAATTCTGAATAAACAAAACGTTTTATTTTACCAGGTATGGCCCACTTGGCTATGTCGCTCTTGTTCAGTAGTGAGCTGCCTATCACAATGATAGCTCAACGAACTGGCTTATGTGGACATTTATAAAAGGAGTCAAATACTCTGAATGCGTGATGTTGTTTCTAAATGGAGGGAAAAACAAGAGGACCTGAAAAAATCCACGCGATCACAGAGAGAGACGTAGACTCAAAATTTACAGCAGGCATCATTGGGGTCTGGGTCAAACCCACGACCTCCTGCATAGCAGGCGAGGTAAATGGCGATGTTGTACGGGACAAGTCCAGGTCTCAATGTCACACGGAAGCGAATTCGCATCTATTCATGGACACCGCCGCTTTCTCCCATATTGTAAAACACTGAAATAAAATTGCCAACAATGTGAACGTCTCACAGGGCGGTGCGCCTCTGCTGTTTGTAGATAAACCCTCTTCTGATAAACCAAGGCTGTGAGTATAAACTATAAACATAGTTTTGATACCTTACCAGGTAAGGCCCATTGAGCTATATAGCTTTGCTTCAGAAGTAACCTTGCCACAAATTATAACTCAAGACAATGGCTCATCGTGTGTAAATTTATAGCAGCTAAATACTCTAAACACGTGATGTTGATTATAAATGTGGAGGGGAAAACCGAAGAACCTGGAAAAAATCCACGCAAGCACGAGAAGAGAGAGAGATGCAAACTCCAAATATACAGCAGCAGACGTCAGGGTTGGTATTGAACCCACGACCTCCTGCATACCAGGCGAGGTAGTTAACATCTCCTAACCACCACGGCGAGTGAATGGAGGTGGTGCCACCTGCAAGAAGGAGAGCGGGTCCTGCACGGCGAGGGCGACGAGCAGCTGGTTGATCTCCTGCTCCAGGTCGCGTGCTCTGCTCTCGTAGCGAGCGATGTCCGCCTGGATGCGGGACAGCACGGAGCGGCCCTCCTCGTCCACGTGCTCCAGCGCCTCCCTCTCCTCCTCCTTCAGCTGCTCCCTCCGACGCTCAAACTCTCGGCTGATCCGCGCCTTGATCCCACGCACAGACTCCTGCACAGACAATGCCGAGTTGTTGATTGACTTGTTAGTAAAGAAGCAATGTGGTGTCGTACAGGCAATGATTGTTACCATACCTCGATCATGTACACGGAGGTGAGCGACGTGTGTATTGGGAGCTCGTGAACATACAAAGCACAGGGAGAATGAGAATGGGATATAAAATATCCGAGGCAAGGAGATTACAGAAAATGCGTCTGTCTGTAGCTGCACGTTGCTGAGTGTCTATCTGGTGAAAATGAAAAACATCATGGATATCATTCGCATCTGTCTGTCTGTCCGTCCCACTCTGGATCTACCAAACGGTGCATGGGAAGGAAATGCGAATTAAACTGAAACAATTTTTTTTGCCGAGGACATTCCCAGAAAGTGTGTAAAAGGTCTGCGAATATACAGAACAAATACACGTCACATTGTCGATGGTTTTGAATAAACATGCGCTTAAATAGACAAACAATGCTGATTTCGAAGGCAATACTCAAGTCCACTCTCCCTTGCTCTCAGGCTAAGTTGGTGATGTCCATTTTTGGGGGGTCAGAAGGGATGAATCGCAACCTTCCATAGCATGAGCATCGTGGTTGTGAGCAATAAAGGAATCGACAGGGAAAGTTGACAACGTATCATCCAGCGCGAATCGATTCCATCGCCCCTAAACCAAAACTGATGTCAAGTTGGAAGTTGCGTCGTAAATTAAGTTTCTGTGTCATCACCGTGGTGGCCTTCAATTCATGTAGTAAACGTGTTGCAAATGGGGCCATCCTAAACCGGTTGTAATGTTTCCCACATTCTTTTTCCTGATGTGTAAACATACACAAAAGCAATATATTTAATTTAAGATTAAGGTTTCACGAGGTTCTGCGCTCAAAAAGTGGGTTTTAAAACAAAATTCGGACAAATACAGCTACGAATTCACACTTTGCTCCATTATAGTTTGATGTCGTTGATTTTAAATTTCGATTTAAAGCTTTCGTGACTGCAAGGATTCAACTTCTTTGGTTCTTTCGGTAAAGTCACGTAGGATGAGAATGAAATAAAAAAAAAATAAAAAAAAATAACACAATAAAATTCTCACGACGTTTCGGCCACAACACAAGTGGCCTTCATCAGGTGAAGGGACGAGACTGTCTGGAGGACAGCGCTGGAGCAAACACAGCCAAGCTCAGACTGCGACCTTTAAGCTGTGTGAGAAGAAACTGAGCGCCTTAACAAAGGAATTAGCATAAAAAATAGCAATTAATTGGCGGACTTAGCATGATGAACGGTGTAGAGGGGGTGAACATGTGCAGACCGGCGAGGGGGGGGAGTTTACATATTGATGGTGTGAAAAGGGAATTTGAGCTGCTGCGAAAGTTTGGGATACCACTACTTGAAAAAATATACTGTACCATTGAAAATTAGTTTAATGTTTAGTTCGGATAATTTAGCATTGAAATCGCTGCGTGATTAGCTTGTTACTGGTCACAGAAATGGCTATGTTAAAGTCAAAGCCTACACGTCCACAGAGGCACCTAGTACCAATCAAACAGGATAATTTAGCATTGAAATAACTGAGTGATTTGCTTGCGACTGGTCATAGAAATACCTATGTTAAAGTCAAAGGCTAAACATCCACAGAGGCACCGAGTACAAATCAAACAGGAGAATTTAGCATTGAAATAACTGAGGGATTAGCTTGTGACTGGTCACAGAAATAGCTATGTTAAAGTTAAAGCCTACACATCCACAGAGCCACCTAGTACAAATCAAACAGGAGAATTTAGCATTGAAATAGCTGAGTGATTAGCTTGTGACTGGTCACAGAAATGGCTATGTTAAAGTCAAAGTCTACACATCCACAGAGGCACCTAGTATAAATCAAACAGGAGAATTTAGCACTGAAATAACTGAGGGATTAGCTTGTGACTGGTCATAGAAATAGCTATGTTAAAGTGAAAGCCTACACATCTACAGAGGAACCTAGTACATGGACGCCAAAGGGGCTGCAACACCTCGACTATCATATAGTAAACCGATGTGAAAAAAAACTAAGTCTAAATTACATCAATATAGCAAATGTACTCTATATATTCTTCAATAAGCTGAGCTATTAACAGTAACTGGGTATACACTACACTATATAATGAAAATCATATAGTAAACCAATAAAAAAACTAAAATATAAACTACCTCAATGTTATATTCTTAGTTTTTTCGGTAAAGTCACGTTGAAGAGACTTTACCGAAAAAACTAAGAATATGAATTACTGCAGTCACGAAAGCTTTAAATCAAAATTTACCTCAATGTTATCAATAAACTCTATATATTCTCCATCAGCTAAGCTACTAACAATAAGTCGTTATATATCACAATGCTATATGGAGAATAATGGGTTTATTCTTCCCCTCAACTTTAGTACCACGGACAGCTACGAGCCCCGTTCAGACGGACGAGTTCATCTATGGTCGGAACGGAGGAGGGAGAAAGAGACAGCTGCGAGGCGCTGTTATACTCCAAGGTTGTAAACCATACCATAAACCGTGATGTGAGAGGTATTAAGAGTCAATGCCAACGAAAGAGCTGCGGTCTGAAGGTCATCGTAAAATGCAATTAATTAAGAACCGAAATGGTTTAAAACATCTTTCCAATGGTTACTAAGCCAGAATCCATCTTTTCGGTTGAAATTGTCTCTTTGCTTGTATATGTGAATGGCCTCATGAACGAATCTCTCATGGTAGCCGGTTGGTTTGCAAAGAACCTCCGTCTTGGAGAAGTCAATGTCATGTGAGCCCACTGAATTATAACAGCGATCTGCCATGGCAGAGGAGTTCGTTCTACCATGTTTCAAGTCTGCTTCATGTTCGCGGATGCGGTCCGAGATATGTCGTTTGGTTTCTCCAATGTAGCTACTACCACAGATGCACTTTAGTTTGTAAACGCCCGGGTACTGTATGTCTGGAACAGCATCTTTTACAGATGGAACCAGATCACGGATTTTATGTACTGTGTTGAATCGGACCTGGATCTTGTGTTTATTCAGGATTTTGGAGATCTTTTTAGTGACCCCTGCAATGTAGGGTAAGGTGATGGTTTTGAGTGGCTCCACAAGAGGATTCTTCTTCATGACGGGAGTGATGGCTTTGCGGATTGTGTAGTCGGAGTAACCATTAGCCCTGAGAGCCTGGTGTACGTGCTTGAGTTCACTGCTAATGTGTTCCTGGTCGGAAATGCATTGGGCTCTATGGTATAGAGTCTTGATGAGGGAGTTCTTCTGGGATGGATGGTGGTAGGAATTCGGTTTCAAGTAAGCATCTGTATGTGTAGCTTTTCTGTAGACAGAGTGGCTCATTGAACCATCATGTCTCCTTTTAATTAAGACATCCAAATAGGGTAGTTTGCCATCTTTTTTGACCTCCATAGTAAATCGGATGGCTGGGTGTATGGAATTGATGTGGTGGCGGAATTGTTCTAGAGCAGGCTGGCCATGTGGCCAGATGACAAAAGTGTCATCCACGTACCTCTTCCATAAGGTCGGGCGTAGAGTGGCAGTCTGGATGGCGTCAGTTTCAAATTTTTCCATAAAAACGTTGGCTACAACCGGAGATAGGGGGAGCCCATTGGGGTGCCATCAGTTTGTTTGTATAAAGTTCCATTCCAGGTGAAGTATGTGTTGGTTAAGCAATGTCTCACCAGGGGGGTACATCAGTATGCAGTCCTTGATTAACCAGATCTTCAATGATAGCGATGGTGTCAGGTACCGGCACTTTGGTGAACAAGGACACCACATCGAACTCGTCCGTATAAACGTGCCTTGTAGCTATCCGTGGTACTAAAGTTGAGGGTAAGAATCCACCCATTTTTTGCCATATAGCATTGTGATATATAACGACTTATTGTTGGTAGCTGAGCTGATTGGAGAATATATAGAGTTTATTGATAACATTGAGGTAGTTTATATTTTAGCTTTTTTTTTGGTTTACTATATGGTATTCATTATATAGTGTAGTGTATACCCAGTTACTGTTAATAGCTCAGCTTATTTAAAAATATATTGACTACATTTATTATATTGATGTAATTTAGACTTAGGTTTTTTCACATCGGTTTGCTATATGATAGTCGAGGTGTTGCAGCCCCTTTGGCGTCCATGTACCAGGTGCCTCTGTAGATGTGTAGGCTTTGAATTTAACATAGCTATTTCTATGACCAGTCACAAGCTAATCACTCAGCTATTTCAATGCTAAACTCTCCTGTTTGATTTGTACTAGGTGCCTCTGTGGATGTGTAGGCTTTGACTTTAACATAGCCATTTTTGTGACCAGTCACAAGCTAATCACGCAGCTATTTCAATGCTAAATTATCCGAACTAAACATTAAACTAATTTTCAATGGTACAGTAGATTTTTTCAAGTAGTGGTATCCCAAACAGCAGCTTAAATTCCCTTTTCACACTATCAATATGTAAACTCCCCCTTCCCCCCCCTCGCCCATACAGATACTTGAAACCGGGTTCCCACCACCATCCATCTCAGAAGAACTCCCTCATCAAGACTCTATACCATAGAGCCCAATGCATTTCCGACCAGGAACACATTACCAGTGAACTCAAGCACGTACACCCGCCTCTCAGGGCTAATGGTTACTCCGACTACATAATCCGCAAAGCCATCACTCCAGTCATGAAGAAGGATCCTCTTGTGGAGCCACTCCAAACCATCACCTTACCCTACATTGCAGGGGTCACTAAAATTATCTCCAAAATCCTGAATGAACACAAGATCCAGGTCCGATTTAACACAGTACATAAAATCCGTGATCTGGTTCCATCTGTAAAAGATGCTGTTCCAGACATACAGTACCCGGGCGTTTACAAACTAAAGTGCCTCTGTGGTAGTAGCTACATTGGAGAAAAAAAACGACATATCTCGGACCGCATCCGCGAGCATAAAGCAGACTTGAAACACGTTAGAACGAACTCCTCTGCCGTGGCAGATCACTGTTATAATTCAGTGGGCTCACATGACATTGACTTCTCCAAGACGGAGGTTCTTTACAAACTAACCGGCTACCATGAGAGATTCGTTCATGAGGCCATTAACATATGCAAGCACAGAGACAATTTCAACCGAGAAGATGGATTCTGGCTGAGTAACCATTGGAAAGATGTTTTAAACCATTTTGGTTCTTAATTAATTGTATTTTACGATGATCTTCAGACCGCAGCTCTTTCGCTGGCATTGACTCTTAATACCTCTCACAGCACGGTTAATGGTATGGTTTACAACATGGAGTATAACAGCGCCTCACAGCTGTCTCTCTCTCCCTCGTCCGTTGCGACCATGGATGAACTCGTCCGACTGTACGGGGCTCGTAGCTATCCGTGGTACTAAAGTTGAGGGGAAGAATCCACCCATTTTTCGCCATATAGCATTGTGATCTATAACGACTTATTGTTGGTAGCTTAGCTGATTGTAGAATATAGGTAGTTTATATTTTTAGTTTTTTATTGGTTTACTATATGATATTCATTATATAGTGTAGTGTATACTCAGTTACTGTTAATACCTCAGCTTACTGAAGAATATATTGAGTAAATTTATTATTTTGATGTAATTTAGACTTAGGTTTTTCCACATCGGTTTACTATATGATTGTCGAGGTGTTGCAGCCCCTTTGGCGTCCATGTACCAGGTGCCTCTGTAGATGTGTAGGCTTTGATTTTAACATAGCTATTTCTATGACCAGTCACAAAGCTAATCCCTCAGTTATTTCAATGCCAAATTCTCCTGTTTAATTTATACTGGGTGCCTCTGTAGATGTGTAGGCTTTGACTTTAACATAGCCATTTCTGTGACCAGTCACAAGCTAATCATTCAGCTATTTCAATGCTAAATTCTCCTGTTTGATTTATACTAGGTGCCTCTGTGGATGTGTAGGCTTTGACTTTAACATAGCCATTTCTGTGACCAGTCACAAGCTAATCACTCAGCTATTTTAATGCTAAATTATCCTGTTTGATTTGTACTAGGTGCCTCTGTGGATGTGTAGGCTTTGACTTTAACATAGCCATTTCTGTGACCAGTCACAAGCTAATCACGCAGCTATTTCAATGCTAAATTATCCGAACTAAACATTAAACTAATTTTCAATGGTACAGTATATTTTTTCAAGTAGTGGTATCCCAAACTTTCACAGCAGCTTAAATTCCCTTTTCACACCATCAATATGTAAACTCCCCGTCCCCCCCACGCCGGTCTGCACATGTTCACCCCCTCTACACCGTTCATCATGCTAAGTCCTCCAATTAAATGCAAATGTTTATGATAATTCCTTTGTCAAGGCGCTCTGTTTCTTCTCACACAGCTTAAAAGTCGCAGTCTGAGCTTGGCTGTGTTCGCTCCAGCGCTGTCTTCCATACAGTGTCGTCCCTTCACCTGATGAAGGCCACTTGTGTTGTGGCCGAAACGTCGTTAGAATTTTATTGTATTATTTTTTTATTTTAATTTTATTCCCATCCTACGTGTCTTTACCGAAAGAACCAAAGAAGATGAGTCGTTGATTTCGTTGATTTAACGTAGGCAGCAAGCGAGTTGTCATTGGGAAACGATTCGCTTGAAATTCACTCCGCTTGCAATTCACTGAAATTATATCCCGTGCCAACGTGTGGGGCAGTGCTCGTCAATGATGAGAGCGAATCCATACTCTTTCGTTCTTCCGGTAAAGTCACTAAGCTATAAAATAAAATAAATCACGACATTTCGATCGCAACACAAGCGGTCGTCCTCAGGCGGAAAATAATATAATCCAGCAGTGGAACTTCTGAACTAGCGGCAAATCAAGATTTATAAGAGCGAAGTTTAATGAAATACGATTTGTTGGCAAACCTCCACTCGCCGGTAGTCGTCCTTGAGCGTCCGTGTCCATGACGTCGCCACGTTCCTCTTCTCCTCTCTCCCCTCCTTCTTGACTCTGAGCTCCTCCTGCGGTGTGGTAAATATATAAATACGCGGCTCTCGCCATTGACATTGGTGGGTCACTGGCAGATCATCAGCCCGCATCTCTGATTAGCACGGTTGGCTACGAAAGAAGTTCAACACACATACACACATTTGTTGCCATTATATTTCTGCATTCGTCTCCACTTATATTTTTTATTTTTCCCATGATTGTATCCCGACTGCACTGCCCGTGTCATGCATTGAGACGAATAATCAAATGGAAACTACCGCAGAACAATGCAATATCCTGTTAGAAAAATCATGAACAAATATTACATACATAAAAAATATGTTTTAAACCTATTCCAGTTATGTTGGTAGCGGCTTCTTACACGTCCTACTATACATCGTAACGTTTCTGACTTAATCAATTACATATTTTTAATTATAATACAAAAACATATTTAACATGCAGTCAAATCTTGACTGTGCTTTGACCAACAACTCACTAAACTTGAGGATCCGGTTTAATCCATGGGCGGCCGACAAGATTCCAACTAAGAATTACAGCATTACCATCTCAGCGTTCTGACGTCTGAGCCATCCTGCCACCTCTACCTGGGTCTCCCTGTAGAGGGAGGTTTGGTCTCAACAGGAGCTCACCTGGTCGAGGTGAGGGGTCACGACCTACTGATGTGAATCTCTCAACCTCCTGTAACAATGCGGATTACAACGGAACATGACAATTCACCTGTCTTGTCTGTTTCGCTTTTTCCACTGTGATGACTCTGTGCCCGGAGTGGTCTCCTGCGACGGGGCAGACTGTGCAGACCGGGATCTTGTCCTGTTCACAGTAAAGAATGAGCTCCTGTCTGTGCTCCCGGCAGCGTTGCTCCTCCAGGTTCGTGGTGGGAGCCACCAGGACGTGGTCTCTCAGCCTGGGATTCTCCAAGTGAGGCCTCGCGTGCGTCGCACAGAAGGACATCTCACATCTCATGCAGGTGTTCACTGCAGGAGTTTGGCCATCACAGCAGTTATCACAAACGACGACCGCGGCCATCCCGTCTCCAACTCTGAGCTGCTCCGCCAGGTTGGCGAGGGCCACGTTCCTCCTCAGCTGGGGTCGCACAGCGAAGGTCGCTCGGCACTGCGGGCAGCTGAAGCTGCTCGCTGTTTCCCAGGTGGCCTCCAGGTACCGCAGGCAGAACGAGTGTCCGCAGCTCAGCGTGGAGGGGCAGACGAACGTGCCCAGGCAGATGGAGCAGCGCAGCTCACTATCCACACTCTCAATTGGAGTCGAGCTCCCTATGACTAATGGGCTTCACTGAGATCACTCGCTGTGTGGCTCAGAGAGACGCTGGATCAGGACCTCTCTCTTATAGCGACGGTGAAGAAGGAAGTAAAATACTTTAAATATTTTCATTGTCGTCACTCAAGAGACACTGCTTGGAATGTGAACCTATGTCCTTGGTGCGCAAACAGCAGCTTCAAGGTTAACATTGTTACAGTACACACCTTGACACGAACAAAATGTATCAAAGGAATGTAATATTTTAACAAATATATTAATTAAACAAATGAGTGTTGTTAATATAAATCGGTGAGCCTCAGCTGCGGTGGCTCATTTATGAGATGAGTATCGAGAGATAACTCATCCTTCCAGAGCTCAGCGCACAAGTTAGTCTCGATGGTAAGACAGAGCAATGGATTGGGTGCCACCGTGGCTATATGTGATTTCGCTCGCCTTACGGCTGCTTTGTATTTAAAGTTTGCGTCTTTCTCTCTCCGCTTGGTCTCGGCAATTTGTATCTGGATCCTCTGGTTAACCCTCCACATTTAGAATCAACATCACGCATTCATAGTATTTGGCTGCAATCCATTTTCACATAAGCCACATCATTGCGCTCTCATTTGTAAAAGCCACTTCGCTTCTGACAAAGAGCCACATAGCACAGTGAGCCTTACCTGGTAAAATTAAAAGTTTGTGTAGTTGTTGATATCTCATGATGTCCTCTAGTTCCATCTCAGTGTAATTACCCCAACGTGACGAGTTTTTGAATGTTATTGTGGCATCCGACATGGGATTTGTCTGTAGACTCCCGTGACCCATCCTGGAATCTTGAGACTTTTGCTAGCAGTGTGAATCTATCACCAACTCTATCTGCCTCCATCACCCACTGCTGGCGATGTCACCGTCTCTCACTCTCACCTTGTCCGAGATTGGAGATTCCCATTCCGACTATTCACAGCCGCACCCACCACCTATTTCCACTTGCGTTGTTTCATATTAGCATGTACGGCTATTGCACACGCGTCCTCCATCCGTCTTTCTACATCCCCCTCACCATGTGGTCCGGGCTTTGCGCATCACACCACGATGCTCCTCTAGCGTGGTGAGGCACAGCGTGGTGCGACGCACAGACATCTTGGCAGCTAGACAAAGCCTGATGGCTGCTCTTCAAGGTTTATCAGAAGAACAAGAAGTTAAATTCCCTAAGTCGAGCCCATTGAGCTAAAACGTAATTTTTCAAGGGGGTTTTAACTGGCAGACATCATCAAACAGTAATAAAGGAACTTGTTCTGAAAGCAAGAGCACCGTATTGTCCCGCAAATAACCCGCAGACGCATCTACCCCACATACGCATCTAGCCCGCAGACGCATATAGCACTCTTGCTCGGTTGCGCTGGTTGAGCGCTCCTGCTCTATGGTCTGTGGCGATACACGGTTGTGCTCGCAGCTTGTCGGCAGGTCGACGGGGCCGATACTCTTGCCCGGTTGCGCTGGTTGCGCGCTCCTGCTCCGTGCTCTCTGGCGGTGCACGATTGTGCTCGCAGCTCGTCCGCTGCTGATGGTCCTCTGCGATGGTCACTTGGTCGATGCTTGGCGTTTTCCGCCCTTTCTCCAGGTTGATTGCTTGTCGTTGCTCGTCACTCTTTCTCTCACTTTCTCTATTGCTCTCTCCTTGATCGTGCAGCTGCCAGCTTCACACTGGCATTCAGTGGTGCCTCTCCCACCCTTCTTTCAGGGCTTCGCATTGTCGTTGCTAAACTTCCGTGCTCTCCGTCCTTCTTCTAAGAGTGCTCCTACTGTGAGCTGCTCGTCGCTGGCTGGATCACTCACTCTCAACACTTGTAAATTGTATTAGCACACCTCTTACACAACTCTGATAGGTTAGTACAATACAACTTATCTCAATCCTTGACTCTGCAAGCGACTCAACACATCAGGATAAAGGTAGAATTAAACTTTCAGCGTTACTCTGTCGGTCCATGCCGAACTCAGCTCTTCACAATACACCGTCCCTTCTCTTTGCAAGACACGACACCCATGGTTGATCTCGAGGCCATGCCCCGGAGCCTGCCCCTTGCAAACTGAGTTGCGTGATCTGTGTCCTTGCTTATGTGTGAAATTCTCTCCCCTCTGCGTGTCTCTTGCGGAAAAAAACAGATGCCCTCTGTCTCGTTCTCCTCCCGTGGCCACAACTGCCTGGTTGCCCCCCCCCCTTTTGACCTTTGGCTGGCTGCTTTTGATCACCATGTTTTTGTTTGCACCCCCCCCCCCCCTCTGCCTTCGTGGTGTTTGCTATCTCAAAGGGGAGGCACCCTCCCTTCATACGTATTTTATTGCTACCATGTGTTGTGTCAAATTGTTGGAACACAAAGGCGGCCAGGAGGCTCTGATTCCATGGAAAACGTATTATCTGGTCTTGTGTGTTTGACCTATTTTCCTTGTATCTATTTTGAGTTACCCTAGGTCTAATACCTCATGATTATTATTTGGTTTATGTTTAACCAAGATTTGTAATGTACCATAAGTTCTTACGTCCGGTATTTCAAGAGTTGTATTAACCTTTGCTCCCTGTCTGTATCCAGGGATCCGTGCTTTTTATTCTTGAGTTATATTTTGATATCCTTTGGTTGGAGATATAACAAAGTTTTCACTTAAGCTTTCTTGACTGCCAGAATTCATATTCCTTGGTTCTTTTGGTAAAGTCATGTAGATAGAAAGATACAATAAGAAACAATATATGAGGTGAATAAGTGTGAAATAAAATAAGAAATAATAAAAGCCACTAATGTAGACTGCAGTCTAGAATGTCGAACTTTTACCATTAAAGAAAACGCCAGTTGTAATGTCCGTTTGCCCCTGCTCTGTGTCTGTGTCTGGATATGTTTGTGAAACTGTCCAAAACGTCCGTGGAGGTGTGACTCATGATCCCCCGTACCGTGGAGATTTCCCAGATCGTCGTTAACCTCCCTTTGCCCCGGAGTTTATTATTTAATGGCTCTTTATGGCCTCCTCCCCCGAGTTGCTTTTAATGTGGCAAGGCAGCTGGGTGTGAGGGGTGGGGTGTGCATCACCCTTTCATGCCCCATGCTCACTCCGATTGATAAGTATTTTAAAAATGTATATATATTGGCAGAATTTTTCGTAATATCAATTTTGGGAAAAGGCCTACATAAACAACACCTGCTAATGGGATTCCACCTCGAGGGACATTTCCTAGGTGTAATATTTGAATATTGTTACTACACCCACTGCTTTGAGAATGGTGGTCGTACAAAGCGCAGTAAACTCGCATCGGGGCCAAAAACAAGTCGGCTCAGCTTGTACCAAATGCAATTACATCCGTTAAGGAGCACAGAAATACGCGATGGGAGCAAATGTACTTCCAACAAGGAGAACTCGCCCACCACTTCCATCCCAATTTGATTGTTTTTCAACGGTTTGAACTACGTATTATTTATTTGATTTTCGACGTATATATTTCTCACGCTCTATATTAATTGCGTATGGTTGCACTTTATTTTGCCCATTCAGCGTTAGCCGCTGCGGTCGTGACGGGATTTTCTTCGTATTTTTCTTGTTCTATTCCCTTCTTGTTATATTTTTCCAAATTCCCAAAATTACATTGCAAATTATTTCCCTTTTTTTACCAGGTAATAGCCACTGTACTATTAAGCTAATTCTATGAAGCAACCTGCCTAGCACATATGATAGCACAAAGAAGGCTTAAAATGTGGAAATTTAAGCAGCCAATTACTCTGAGCATTTTATTATTCTAAATATGGAGTTAAAAACCTGCGGAATCCAGAGAGAAATCCACATGACCAGAGGGAGTGAGAGAACATGCAAACACCAAATATACATTTCTATTTAAAGCTTTCGTGACTGCAATGATTCATCTTCTTTGGTTCTTTCGGTAAAGTCACGTAGAATGAGAATAAAATAATAAATTGATAAAATAAAATAACACAATAATATTCTCACGACGTTTCGGCCACAACACAAGCGGCCTTCATCAGGTGAAGGGGCGAGACTGTCTGGTAGGACAGCGCTGGAGTGAAAGAGCCACGTTCAGATCACGGCCTTTAAGCTGTGTGAGAGGAACAAAGCGCCCTCAAATTTCAGCACCACGGATAGCTACGGGCCCCGTTCAGACGGACGAGTTCGTCCATGGTCGGAACAGAGGAGGGGGAGAGAGACAGCTGCGAGGCCCTAGTATACTCCCTGTTGTAAAACTATACCATAAACCGTGGTGTGAGAGGTATTAAGAGGCAATGCTGGCGAAAGAGCTGCGGTCTGAAGGTCATCGTAAAAATACAATTAATTAAGAACAGAAATGATTTAAAACATCTTTCCAGTGGTTACTAAGCCTGAATCCATCTTCTCGGTTGAAATTGTCTCTGTGCTTGTATATGTGAATGGCCTCATGAACGAATCTCTCATGGTAGCCAGTTGGTTTGCAAAGAACCTCCGTCTTGGAGAAGTCAATGTCATGTGAGCCCACTGAATTATAACAGTGATCTGCCACGGCAGAGGAGTTCGTCCTACTGTGTTTCAAGTCTGCTTTATGTTCGCGGATGCGGTCCGAGATATGTCTTTTGGTTTCTCCAATGTAGCTACTACCACAGAGGCACTTTAGTTTGTAAACGCCCTGGTACTGTATGTCTGGAACAGCATCTTTTACAGATGGAACCAGATCACGGATTTTATGTACTGTCTTGAATCGGACCTGGATCTTGTGTTTATTCAGGATTTTGGAGATATTTTTAGTGACCCCTGCAATGTAGGGTAAGGTGATGGTTTTGAGTGGCTCCACAAGAGGATCCTTCTTCATGACTGGAGTGATGGCTTTGCGGATTGTGTAGTCGGAGTAGCCATTAGCCCTGAGCCTGGTGTAGGTGCTTGAGTTCACTGGTAATGTGTTCCTGGTCGGAAATGCATTGGGCTTTATGGTATAGAGTCTTGATGAGGGAGTTCTTCTGGGATGGATGGTGGTGGGAATCCGGTTTCCAGTAAGCATCTGTATGGGTAGCTTTCCTGTAGACAGAGTGGCTCATTGAACCGTCATGTCTCCTTTTAATTAAGACATCCAAAAAGGGTAGTTTGCCATCTTTTTCGACCTCCATGGTAAATCTGATGGCTGGGTGTATGGAATTGATGTGGTCGCGGAATTGGTCTAGAGCAGGCTGGCCATGTGGCCAGATGACAAAGGTTTCATCAACGTACCTCTTCCATAAGGTCGGGCGTAGAGTGGCAGTCTGGATGGCGTCAGTTTCAAATTGTTCCATGAATATGGTGGCTACAACCGGAGATAGGGGGGAGCCCATTGGGGTGCCCTCAGTTTGTTTGTAGAAAGTTCCATTCCAGGTGAAGTATGTGTTGGTTAAGCAATGTCTCACCAGGGGGGGTACATCAGTATGCAGTCCTTGATGAACCAGGTCTTTAATGATAGTGATAGTGTCAGGTACCGGGACTTTGGTGAACAAGGACACCACATCAAAACTGACAAGCAGGTCGTTTGAAGACAGGGAAATGCCTTTGATTGTCGATACCAGGTGAGTAGAATTTAGTACAGCAGAGGTGGTTTTTCCAGTGAAAGGTCGCAGTATATCAGCAAGAAAACGTGCCAGTTTGTAGGTGGGGGAGCTGATAGTAGAGACGATGGGACGAAGGGGTGTATCTTCTTTGTGTATCTTTGGAAGGCCATATAATCTTGGTGGTCTGGCAGCAGAGGGTTTCAACGAGAACTGTTTGATCTCATCAATTAATGCTGTTGAATCAGATATGATTTTGTTCGTTTTGGTGATCAGGCTGTTGGTGGGATCTCTTTTTATTTTTGTATCGCTGCCATCGTTGAGTAGTTCTTGAATTTTGTTGTTATGTTCTGTTTTGTCCATGATGACAGTGGCATTGCCTTTGTCGGCTGAGAGGACGACAATATCATCCCTCTTTTTTAATTGAGATAATTCAAAACGTTCATCTTTGCTGATGTTGCTGGGTGGCAACTTAGCGTTTTTGAGGGCTGCAGCGATTTCAGATCTTGCTACGTCTGCAGAGATGTGACTCAAGCCCTTGAGTGCAACGTCGACATGGGCAATGATATCATTAACCGGTAAGTGTCTCGGTGTGACAGCAAA